TTTACATGTATGCCCTTTCAATGTATCTACAAATTTTTTGTTTTCAAGATTTCAAACAAAAATATCACAAATATTGTAAAAGAAGCAAATCTATTAATTGCATAAGAAAACTACCATCTAAAATATCGATGTATTCTTGCTATAAATATTTTTTTAAAAAAAACATATATTAACATTCATATTAGAAATGCAGGAATTATTGAAATTATTGACAAGCAATTGCGTATCACGGATAAGTCATCATTATATTTATGTATAATGTCGAAACGAATCTTATAAACTTCTAAGTAATTAATTGTGTTCCAGCGAAACACAAGTGGTTATATTTCGCCGCATAAGGTACCACTCTTGTAGAAACTTAGACTTTAACCTCAAAGTTATTATTTCCGTAACATACATCTTTGAAGAGATTGTACAGTTGAATCTTGATTTATTCATTTCGCCGAAAATCATTGGTTTTTTTACTAAGAAAAATGGACTAAATTAAGGTTTAAAATACGATATCGATATTAAAATTCTTAGGATAAAAAGATAAAACGCGCCCATTTCATCTTATTCATTATCGGAAATCCATTACTTAAAAAGTAAATTTGACCAACCAACACTTTCTTTAATTCTCAAACCACGGTATGTAACGGTAAATAAAAACACACGCCTCGGATTTCTTTTAAATAATAACTCTTTAAAATTCATAAATTGGCAATTCCACTTTATCTGTAACATGCCAGAAATTAAGCAATTCACTCTCGCAGAAATCGCTTCACACAATACCAGGAAATCTTTGTATGTAGCTATCCACGGAAAAGTCTATGATGTGACATATTTCATAGATGAGGTATGTTAACGAAAATTATCTTCTCGAAAAAGGACATACATTCTAATGTTGATTCGCTAATAATAATAATAATAATAATAATAATCGAGTAGCATCCTGGTGGAGATGAAGTACTATTCGAGGAAGCTGGTAGAAATGCTACTGAATCTTTTGACGACGTAGGGCACTCAGACGAAGCGCATGAAATATTGAAGAGATACTATATTGGTGAATTGAAGGATGTGAGTGCGAAGAATTAAATTATACAAAGGAATACAAGAAATTAAAAAAAATAATATCGATAGCTAGAATTGTGGTTATATAAATATTAAAGAATGCGCAACACGACATACAGTACAAGAATCCATAAATGAAATTTTTTAAATTTAATGTATTGAATGTATTGAATGTAATGTATTAAATATAACCTATATTTCTATATTATTTGGATTTCATGATATATAATAAAAGGTTCCAACACCATCCAAGGCACCGATAGTATCCAAAGCACCAACGAAGTCGCAATCTTATACTACTCCCAAAGCACCTCAACCGAAATCAAGCAGGTAATTAAAAATCCCTCGTCGATTTTTGCAATAACGATTAATCATATATTTATTTTTTATTGATAATAACAGTAATTTCGGATTACTTGTGCCAGTTGGAATATTTATTGCTTATATTGCCTACAAATATTTTGTTTCATCTTCAGAATAAATATTTATTTTACGTAACGGAGATTGGTGAAATTTTAATTAATAATAAATTTTTTAATTATCTAAATTGTAGAACGTTAAATCCCTAATTTTTTAGATTTCAGAATAAGCAAATGAAAAATTTTTATATTTGAAATTGATCTAGTTACATATGTCTTTTTACTGATTTTAATTAGTAAAAATTAAATTACATGAATCAATGAATTTTTCATTACTAATTAAACTTTTTTAAATTTAAATAAAAAATAAATAGTATCTTGACAGAGCGATTATTAAACAAGATGAAATACATCTTACAATAGATTACTGGAAATTCAAACTGATATTATAAGTAGAATTGATAAGTTTATTACTAATTAATTGGATTAATTAATCCAGTTTATCCAAATAAATATTTTATACAATAAATATTATCATGCAGTATGTGCAAAAGTCTTTGGACAAATTTAAAAAGCAATTGCATAGTAATAATTAATTAAATTTGCACGAAAATTAATATATATGTGCTTTAATATCTATAAAAAAGTTTACTTAAATTATTTATTAAAGAATATTAATATTATTTTTTTAGATTAATTTTTTTGATTAAAAAATTAATGTAAAAAAATATTTAGAAAAATTATATATATATTTTATATAAAAAAAGTTACACAAAATTTTATATAAAAAATAATTTTAATTATATTTTTCTTTATTATATAATGAAAATTTTTATCAAAAATTTACTAAAAACTCTTAAACTTATTTAAAAGTAATATATAAAATAATATATTAAAAAAATCAATTTTAGAAATTTTTTGAACTTAATTCAAGTTTATAGGAGATATCACTAAGATTTTTTACTAAATTATTTATTTTTATTTTTTATTTTTTATTTTTTAATATTAAAATATATATATTTAAAATATTTAAACAATAATTATTTTTTTATAAATTTTTATTTAAATTAAAAATAATTTTAAAGACTTTTGTATTATATTATATTGTATTATGAATTTAATTCAATATTTTTAGAACTGAAAAATATATATTTTATACAATAAGAATTTTTTTATGAAAAAACTTATATAATAAGTATTTTGTAATAAAATATAATAAAATTAAAATATTAAAAATTTATAATTTTAATAAGAGATAATTTTTGTTTTTATATTAAAATTTTTTAATAATTTTATAATTAAAATAACTTTTAGAAAAATCAAAAAAAATTATATATCAAATTATAAATTATAAATTTTATTTTAATATTAATATTAGAAATTTTAAGATAAAAAAAATTTTAATTTTATTATTTTATTAATAAAATTAGCTTTCTAATTTTTAATTCTGTTATTTATTATATTTATTATAGAAATTCAAGAATAAATAAATCATAATATAAATTATACTTTACTTTTCAATCTAAAAATCAAATATAAAAATATATAACTTAATAAATTTGAATTTAAAAATAAATTATTTTCTTTTTTAAGTATAAATTTTTAAAAAAGTTCATTTTTAGATTTTAAAAATAATTATATAAAAATATTTTATAAAATATTTTATAATATATTAAAAATTATTATATTAGTTAATATTAATAAAAATTAATATTTTATTTTTAAAATATTTAAATATCAATTATAATATTTAAAATTTAATTTAAATTTATATAAAATATAATTATTATATTCTTTAAAAAATAAATATTACTTATTTATTATTTTTGATTTTAAAATAGAAAATAATTCTTATTTTAAATAGTTTCTTAAAAATTTATTAAATTTATTTAAAAATAAATATTATTTAATTAATATATAATAGAATAAAAAAAGAAAAATTATAAATTTAAAAAATAAATATATAAATAAAAAATTATTTTAAAAAATAAATATATATTATAATTATTAATTTTTTAAATAATATTTATTTTTATAATAGATTATTTATTTTTTAATTAAACTTAGAGTAATATTTATTTTTAAATAATTTATTATTAAAAAAATATAATAATATAATCTTTTATATTTTGTTATTATTAAATTTAATATAATTTATTAATATATTAAAATATAATAAAAAATTATAAATTATATTATTATAATATAAATAGAAAAAAAAGTAGAAAAATTTTTTAATTTATTTTAAAAGTAATAAAAAAATTAAAAAATAAAATATTTTATAGTGATAGCTAAAAGTTATATATAAAAAACTAAATTTATTAATAAAATATAGTAAATATTAAAATTTTTTCTATATTAGAATTTATAATTTTATTAAGAAATAATTTTTATTTTATATTAAAATAAAATTTATTAATTATAATTTAATATATATTTTTTTAGATTTTTTCTGAAAGAATTATAAAGTTATTATAAAAATTTTTATTAATTAAAAATAAAATTTAATTAATAAAAATTTTTATATTAATTTTATAATTAAAATAATTTTTTAAGAAAAAATCTAAAAAATTTAAAAAATATATATATTAAACTATAATTAATAAGTTTTATTTTAATATAAAAATAAAAATTATTTC